TGTTTTAATATAACATTGCTTGTGTTTTGAGTTGTAGGTGGTGGAGCAAATAGGGGAAAGTCTACTGCATTTTCCTAGACTTTGATATATTTTGAGCACATAGATTTTAAGAAAATCATTTGAGATGATTCATTGAAAATCAAACATTGAAAAGTAACTTAGGAATATCGCCTCCCAGTCAATTCAAACTCTATGCACACTTTGGTAATCATTCAAACTTATTTTATTCAAAATTGTTCAAAACCAAAGCAAAACAAAACCATTCTCAGAGCTTAGTTAAGACCACAATAGTAATTGTCTGACCAGTTTCCTTAGCAGGAATTTTTAAACAGTCTCTCTTGAAGTGAATCTGGCAAATAGAACAGATTTTCATTGGATTTTTCTGAAAGGTAGGAATATGACTTGAAGGAGTCTTTCTGGATACCTTTCAGTTCTTTATTTATATAGATAATACTGTAATTCTTAATGTGTCATAGTGTTAAGTAGGTAATCAGCCATTTTACCGAAGGCATTCTATGTAGAAAACATTTCCTTTCAAAGTAATAGTTTTTAAAAGCAGCTTGAATTTATTTTATTTCTTTATATATCTTTTAAAAAGTAAATAGTTTCAGTGCTGGAATGGAAATGCATAATCTCCTGAGACTTCTGGGATGAGTAGCCAAAGGGAGAATTGTTTGGCTGGATGGATTACAACATATTTTTTTAGCAAAATCATAAATATCCAAATGTAGATTCTGGCAATTTGGAATGTCATGTCAATATGAGGAATTCCCAGGAGGATTCTGGAACTCACATGGAATTATCAGGTTATAGCAGTAAACATAGTAGGCATAGTTTTTCAATAGTCATAACAAAGTATGATCTGTGTGACATATTTTGTATAATAAGTAATACAAGTCTAATATAAAACAGGTGACTAATATTGCTTAACTATTTAAGTATACCATATGTGATAAAACATAGCCAAATTTTAATTATTTCCATGAAAATATAGATTCCAACATTTAAAAACTATATGCCCTCTGTTGTGAACTCTGAGACTACATGTGATATATATTGTGATGATGATTCTAGTTTATTTTATGTAATCAATTATGAAAAAGTAAATGAATATTCAAATAGTTTGGGAAGGAATAATTGTCTTTTTTTTATGTGGAGAAACTGGTCACCCAAGAGAATATTTCCAAGAAATATGTTCTGCTATGTTAAGCTAAGCATTTACATTATTTAAGCCATTTGTTTCTCAAGGCTCTGAGGTTCATGAGCCCAGTTTCCGTCCCTTTGGTACACCTTAATCTGCTGCTGAATTCTATAGTTAAATTTTATACCCTTATCTGAAACTGTCCCTTGTAAAATGCAGCAACTTGTGAAGATCAGATGAGAAATATACCTTGAACAACTAGAAAGTTTAAAGCATTTGTCATGGTAATTTGAACATTTTACTTTAGTATTGAAAAAAATTAAATTATTAAATGGATGAGCTGAGACATGTGTAAATACATGAGTAAATACATAGTAGAATTAATACTCTGGTTCTCATCTGCTATAGTAATCTGATCTCTGGACATATCTCACTTGTGTGAGATACTTTAGCTTAAATCAGTATCCAATATAATGAGACCATTATTTATCATTGTCACAATCCTGTGTCTTATTCTCTAAATTCTAGGAGTAGGATTAAGATATGGCTATATTTCACATATTATGTAATGTTTAGAGTTATAAGTTTGCTTTATGAAAATGTAAAAAAAGAGAGATATGGCTGTATTTAAAAAATAAAAACAATTGTCAACTGTTGTGAATTAAAGAGAATTCTCATTTCCCCATTGTTTATAGAGGTTGAGCTTGAAGAAGACAATTAATCATCCTGTCCAACCTGAGGGGAGATTTCGGAGCATTATCAGCATCTGGATATTCTAGAAGCTTCGAAATACAAAGTCACTTGAAGGCTAAATTCATATAATTTATAGTTTAAATTCAAAAAATTAATAAGTTTTTAACAAAACAAAATCTCAAAAATGTGCCTTTTTTTATTCTCAACTTTCTTCCTCCAAGGTATTACTGATCATTCAATCAAGTGTTCCACAGAATGTTCTTTAGAAAATTCAATTCACCAGGCAGGGTAGCACACATCTGCCATCCCAGCGACACAGGTGGCTGAAGGGAACAATACAAGTTCAAACTCAGCCTCAGAAATTTAGTGAGGCCCCAAGAAATTTGGCAAGATTCTGTCCCAAAATTTAAAAAAATAATAATAAAATAAAAAAGGGCTGGGATGTGCATGCTCAGTGGTTGAGCACTCTTGGTCCAATCCTTGATTAAAAATAATAAGAAGAAATAGAACAAAAGAAAGAAAATTCAGTTCATGAACAATTTCATCCTAAAAAGGAGGGTTTTGTGATCAAATAAGTTTAGGACATGCTAAACACTGAAATAATTTCTTGAAGATTGAAGCACGCTCACTGGATCTCTTAAATGTGTGTGGCCTGCGCCTTAGGTGGATGTATATGGTGTCTGAATATGCATGTATGTGCACACAGTTATATAATATCTACCAATATCCTTCAGGTGTAATTTTCTAAATAGAAATCATTCTGGGAAATGTTGAAAAATATGTTTGCATTTTCCTTATCTGGGATAGAATTAACCTTCTTTTTCCCAAGTTCTAGTGGTCTACATTTAACAGATACCCACCAATTGCTTGGTATTGAATCCTAAAGGGAATATCTTCTGTCTCTCCACTCACAACACTTCTGAAACCAAATGTGTAACTTTTCCACCTCAAGCATCCTCTAGTTCTCTGCAGATATCAACTGGGTATCCTACAACTTAATTCATTTTTTGACACTATCTCCCTGGAGTTGGCATAGTAATCATGGATCAGATTCCATCCTATTCGACTGCCCCTCAAGTCAGATTCCAACCCCAGTTACAGGGTCACATGGCAGATCACAGGCATCTCCTCCACAGTCATGGGAGCCAATTTCTTATACTAAATCTCTTTCTATACACCTATCTATCTGTTCTATATCTGTAGACATATATCTGTTTATATCTCATTGTTTCTGTTCCTCTTGAGAACTCTAATTTGGCATTCTTTGTTTTGTAGGAGTATATTCTTCAGTTGCTTCCTTCCTCAGAATTTACTGCAAATACATTTGTTTAATTGTATCAGTGTCCAAATATTTTTATTCCACCTTCACATTAAATTGTTAGCTTATCTTATAATTTGCAGCTATTTTTGCCTGCAGTGTTGCTCTTGTGAATTCTGTTATTCGTGTACTTGATAATTTATATCAAGCATTATCTTGTATATTTCCTCTTTGTGAGTTTTTAATATATCTCCTAATAACTAGTGTTTGAAGTATTCAAATGAACTATTCAAATCTCTTGCTTAGGTTCATTTATTGAAAGATCTTTCACTGAAAACCCAGAAAAAAATGTTATTTCTTCTTTAATAGTTTCCTCTTTTTTTCTCCTTTGCATATTTTATAAACTAGAGTACCTAGGCTGATCCTCTAATTTCACATCATTTTATTTATTACTGTTTATAACTTTTTGTTTTTAATGTGTTTTAAGATTATCTGAACTCGTGTCAGTTTGCTTTTTAAATTTTGGCTAGCATATTTTAAAGTTCCAAGAGTCTTAAGTATCTCTGATTGTTCCATTTTATGACTCTTAATTCTCCCTAAAGGGTGCCAATATATATATTTTTTGTCTCTTGGAAGTAATTAACAATAGTTTTATTTTGTTCTATGAATACCAGTGTCTTTGTTCTCTTTGAGTTTCTGTTTATTTTTACCCTTTTCTTTAATCTTTGGATTCTCCTCAAACATGTAAAGATTTTTGCCTATGTATGTGTCAAAAATATGAAATAAGTTAATGTGGATGTTCAGGTGGGAAGGATTTGTTAACTTGTGGGATTCTCTTCAGGGTGATTTGGTGGCAAGATACTTTTTCCACTGGAATGGCCCTCAAGTGTGTGTATTACTGTTTTCCTTTCAGTCAGATAAGAATCATTCAACTTTATGCTTAGAAGATCCAATATTTTCTTGTGAGGATTCTGATAACAGAGTGGGGAAGGAAATCATAGAGTCTAATATTAAATATGCAAACTTTTAATGCATTTTACTGCTTGGAGACCTGACCCACATTTCCTTCTCTGCTTCATCGGTTGTCTTAGACTACAGAGTAAAAGTCCCCATTGTCTGTCACACATAGAAAAGATATGTTGTGGAAAGAGGTTAAAAGCTCTGACTTTTCTGTAAGCTTATTTTCAACCAAGCTATTTTATTTTCTATCTTAGCACTGTGTTCTTGTAGACCTTACATCTCAGTTTAACTGTAATCCAATCTAAAATTGCTTACTGCTCTCTAACAAGGGAAAAATTTCAAAGTAATTCCAAAATGACTTTGCCTCCATTTTAGTGAAGATTCAGAGGTACAAAGAATTGAGGATAGATAGCCCTACAAGCATGTTTAACTAAAAGTATAGGAAGCTTTCTGGTCCTCATTATCTGTGTAACCCTTTCCTGGTTTCTGTCTTTTTCCCCTCTGGACGCAACCACTCCTATTAAGTAAAGTTAAACATCATCTGTCAATACACTGCAGAATAACACGAAGAATCATTATTCAACTTTAAATTGAATAATGACTGTTTTGGCAATGAATGAATTGAACTGAATGTTATCATGAGACAGCACTTGGTATAATTATTTAATTAATGGAAATGAAGTATTGCAATATTAAAGAACTTGAGTACACATTGAAGGATACTGCGACTATGTGTGGCTCAAAGCCAGCTCAGGGCAATTCACATTTTAAAATAACGAAATGATGAATTTTTATCACTTTTTTTCCTTTTTCATTTACTAAGCTTTGCATCTTGATTGAAGCAAAGACATCTGTCTTTTCCCGGATAGCAAGAACTTTGGTTGCTGTGGCAACATATTGACTGGGGAACTTAAAATAAAGATGGCTCATTTCCAAATCTTTTTTTTTTTTCCTCCTTTTTCTTCACAAAAAAAGCACACATTGGCAAGAAAGCTCTACTGGAAGCTTTATAATCAATAAACCTGTTGTTTGTTGAAGGATTACATCTCTAAACTTGCATGTTAAGCAGGTAAGAAAATGTACATTTGACTTCATACACTTTTAAGCCATGAAACACTGCACTATCTCCTTTTTAACCAGATTCCTTCTTCCTTTCTTCCTACTTTCCTTACTTCCTTCCCTCCTTCCTATTTTTAAAAATTGTGATGGCAGGAACCTGGGTGGGTGTAGAAAGGGGGGGAGGCGGTGAAAGAAACTCTTCAAAAGCCTTAGTTAAGAACACAGCCTGGTTGCTAGGGCTTGAAAAGATTGTTATTTGTAGCTAGCACAAAGTTATTCCAAAATGCACTCAGCCTTAGAAGCAAACAAGTTCTACATTTTTAAGAGAGGCAAGGAATGAATCTTCCAACGTATAAAAATAATCTTTTGACACTTTGGGATGCACAGAGGTCTGTGCATTCAATCTCATGAAATAGCAAGGGGAGGAAAGGGTAGTTAATTTCATTAAATTGAGGTCATAAATCACAAATAACTCATACATTTACAAATGCCTAAATTTTTACAGCATTTCTTTCTAAAGAACTCTCTCTCTCTCTTTTTTTTTTTTTTTTTTGGGGGTTTTTTCATTTGGGGGGGTTTATCAACAACAAACTGGCATGACAGAAAAACAAATGTGTGATTCTACTTTAGTTTTATTTACTGATCTTCTTCCAAATCTAGAGTCTTATAATATGTTTCTTTTCAATTTGCTGCATAAACTTATGTAAAGTAAATGATATTTGAATAATAAGTTAGATATTTGAACTTTTAATATAATTTATTTAAATTAATTATAGAAATACATCAAATTTTGCTGTGGGATGGGCAGGGGTAATTTACATGGAACATCACAGTAAATTCAGAAAGCAAAGGAAATAGAAATGATAGTACCTTTATTAACTTTTGGTTGAATTATTTGAGATAGATTTTAAAATTTAAATCTATTTATTTATTTAGAAAAATAAATAAGTTTTTTAGAGAACTTCTAACTTTAAGAACTAACCTTCTGTAGTAATGATCAAATATTATCACAGAGTAAACATAATTTTAATCTTTCTTCTTTTTGCCTCTTTGGTAAAGATAAAGACTATTGTAATGCAATAAAGAGCATATGATGCTTTCTTAGGTAGGTATTTTTAGCATAAGAAGAATAAAGATATATTCTCCCTTTATGTATAAAAGTTATAGAACACTGAACTGACAAATTTGATCTCAAAATGTTATAAATCTTTCTTCCAAAGAAGCCCCTTAGAGGTACCAATAATAACAAAAGAGATTTCCATGTGATGAAGCTAAGTGGATATATTTAGAAGATGATTGCATAAAATGCTTATCACAAGAATCTCCTGGTATTGATATTCAAGAGACTATTTGTAATGATTTTTCAGAAGGTATAAGAAAACATTGGTTGCACCAGTAAAAAAAAAAAAAAATGTGGGGATGAGGACAAGAAAATTTGACTGGTAATTTCTGGTTTTCCTTTCTTGTCTATAGTTGCCTATGATGGACTCCCTTCCTACTTATGTTCAATAACATAGTTCTACTAACTTGGTTCCCCTCTTGTGACCGTTAATCTTGGTTGTCAATTTGAATGCATTTACAGGCACTTAGAAGACTGGTTAAGCATACATCTGGGTGTGTTTCTGAGTATGTTTACAAAGATGATTGGCATGTGGTCAGTGAACTGTTGACAGAAAGAAAAAGTTGGGGGGCCCTGATGGAACAAAGAATAGAAAAATAGGTAAATGTTTGTCTGCAAGCTCCATTCTTTTTTTTTTTTTTTTTTGGCTGCTGCCATCACCCTTGTACTCTGAGCTCTGGATTCTTTGGCTTTTCTATGTGGAGTTACACCAGTGACTCTACAGGAAGCTCTCAGGCCTTCAACCTCAGATGGGGACTTTGTCATTGGCCTTTTTTTTTTTTTTTTTTTTTAAGGCTTCCAGCTTCTTAAACGGAGCAAGTATTTGTTTCCCCAGTTCTCTACTCTACAGGTGTCTGTAGTGTGACTATCCAGTCTCTTATCCTGTAAGCCAATCTAAAAAAAAAAAAAATACCCTCTTATAATTACAAACACATTCTCTATAACCCTGACTAATCTACTTCTCTAGGTCTATGACACTTGGGATTTGGCTTTATTTCCTCACTCTGTGAACTTCTTAATTTTATAATTTTGATTTTTTAAAAATTCTTTATGTTGTTATATCAGTGATCAGGCTGCCAAAATAAATTTCCCAAAGGATACTAGGGAGATAAGTTTAAAGACTCATTCATTGAGATGTTTAAGAGCAAATGTATCTACATTTACTAAGGACCAGAAGGTTATAGGTAATTAAGAAGTGCTAAACTAATTCTGTTAGGAAAAATTTGAATACTAGGTTCTGTGCAAAAAAAAAATATGTCATTCATTAGATAAAAGATCAGTTGGTATTTTAACAATAGGCATGTTACCAGGGTCGTATACTAATCAAGAAGTAAAATAGTGCAAAGGAGCCACATGATTTATCCCACAGTTGATAGGACTTTCAGAAGCATGTTCATTGAAATGTATTTTGGTGACATAATGTCTTCTCCGTTCATAGAATTATCTAGGGGATTCAGGTAGCCAGACCAATATGTTGTAGATTGAGTGCTAAAGGGCAAAATCAAGGAAACATCCAATGAGATTTTCTTGTTTATTTTTCTGCGAACGTGCTAAGTACTTATAAGGCACTGAACCAGTTCTATGAAGGATTGAAAAATGAACAGAGTAGTCTTGAAGGACATTAACAATAATATCTTTGGCATTCGCCATTTTACTAGCCAGTCTCAGAGCATGGTTGAAAGATTCACTGGAAGGATACCACAATGCTCTGAGAACTTTAGGAAGCCCTGGAGATGACATTGTAATTTCCTCTCTGCATCCTTGGGATCAATTAGGGGAATAATAATCATGTCTACATCTCAATAAAGTCCATTCCAAATACTTCTAACTTTAAATTTTTCTTAATTTTTTTTTTTAATGATCTAAGAAGTTATGTGTAGAAACTGTTTCACACCCTTTTTAAGTGGAATAGATACACATGGAATGGGCAAAAGGAAGACATTCACCTGACAAGAAAACTGACAAAACCAAACCAGTTAATCTATAAGTAAATTACATTACAGTAAAATCACTGTTAAATCAAGTCACATCCTCAATTTTATTGCCTTATTGTATTTAGCCTTAATGGCATATCTTTTTAAAATGACACTAACTCCAAAAGAGTTATTTAAAAAATATTGCTATCAAGCAGATATTTGCCCAATACATTGCAAATTTCTATGAACAATGACTCTATTCTTTTCTCCCTCTGTCTCTTTCTCTTTCTCTTGGCTTTATATATTTCCAGAACTTAGCATGGTATCTAATATAAGGAGCTTGGCTGTTATTGAATGAAGGAATTGACAGCATGGGAAAAGAAATTAAAAATATCTTTACTTGGAGGAATCATTGTTTGTTCTTGACTGTAATAAATATGTGCATTTGAACCCCAATGTAAATAAGTACATGCACATCATACATAGGGAAATCACATAGAAATCAGAAAAAAACGCCATTCGTGAAGAACTGGGTTAATTCCTTTAACAAAATGAAAATGCAATAAGAATAGAAATATCATGAGAGGGATGACTAAGAGGCCAAGTATCTATGGTAGTTTATGTGCAAAATTTTCTCTATGCAATTTTGGTTCAAAAATCAATATATATAAAAATATAAAAATGAAAACAGTGGAAGACTCATATATTAGCACCAGCACAAGCAGGAAGCACTTTTTATTAGGTTCTTGTGTTTTTCCAAAAATGTAGGTAAATTCAATCAAGTATAAAGAAAATTTATGCCCATCTCATCACATCATACTAAACTGACATTGTTTTTTGCTTATTCTATCTTAGATATCGCTCCCAAATTAGTACATCTTTTTTTTTTAAATGTAACACTGAATGTTCCTGTTTGTGAATATATTTTATTTACAAGTCCTGAACTGAATTTTGTTTATTTTCAGATATTGCTTTTATAACACTTTTTGCAACTATAAAGTTTTTTACATATACTATTTTGAAAGTTTATATTTGTACCTGTAGCCATATAAACTCCCCCAAAGAAAGATTGATGCATGAAAAGTATAATCATCTTTGCTTTTAATGAATATTACCAAATTTACCCAACAATTTATGAAAGATACAAGCAAGTCTTAGAATACAGTCTCTGATACAGAAGGCCAGTGAAGAATGATTAGAAATTTAGGTGTGGAGTCAGGTGTGGAAAAGAGACATGCTCTCAAAACTCTGCAGGTAGAGATAGGAAGGATTTCAGTTGTTGTCTATTTCTATAGAAAATAGTTCAGCAAGAGTGTATGTGACGAATGCAGAGAATCACAACTTCAAAACAGCAAGTATAATGCCATTCCAAGAGAACCTGATAAATTCCTTAACGGATCACACAATCTGAAATGGTCTCAGACTCTGAGGAGAGACAAATCTTCCCTATAGGTTGATTTTTAAATTTATTCCAACTCGGACCCCAGCTTCAAAGAAGATGAAACTTTTTTCTTTGCAGAAAACTTAAGACAATCAACCACCAGCCTCAGGTGCAACTTCAGTTTTCACAAAAACGCTTTTCTCTGCCCATGTTCACATCCTGGGGAACAAGCTTCCTTTCAGAGGATGCATAATCTAGTGATAGGGAGGCTGCTCATGAAGCCAGAGTTTTTTTTCACAGTTGTGCTGCTTGCAAGCAGAACAGTTCACCAGTGCAGAGGTGCCTGTCAGTAAAGAAGGAGAAGGCAGTAAGAAACCCAGAGAAAGCCCATAAGAATTGTCTTCTGTTTGATTACTGTACCTGCAAAAAGTAAGCTTTCAATGATTACCTAATATTAACAGATTTTCCAGAGTAATGCATTTCAGGAACAAATTAAATCAATCAGATTTGGTAAAAACTCAGCAGACTTTCTTAGTTTTTTTTAAAAAAAAGTTTATGTAAAGAAAAAAGTACAAAATGTCATGGTAAGATTACTACAAGGCAATAGTAATTAGCATAATAAATATGAATGTTATAAAGACAGTTCTATAAGTTGAACTGTTTTTGAAGTTATACCTAATTGAATCATATAAGAGAATGAAGTACTATAATTACTAGAAATAAATGTTTAATTTTATGTATTGTTATATACTTTGAAAAAATCTTTAATAGAGTCATTTAAAAATCTGGAGCTTTATATTTAAAGCTTATAAGAGATTCCTATGTCACAGCAGGATGTTTAATAAATACATTCAAATCAGAAACTTTCTTGTAGGGTAGTAAAAAGGTTTCCAATGAGAGAGAAATATAAAATGTAAACCATCATAGTAAGAGCTAATTCATGAAGTAAGATCCTATTCATGACCAGGGCACAGGAGCAAAAGTAACTAATTACTCTCAAATACTAATTTATTTTCCAACAGTCTTGCTAAAACAAGAATTTTTGTTTTTAGCATGAATGTACCTAGAGGATATTGTGTTAGGTGAATTAAGACAGGCATAGAGAGACAAGTAACAAATGTTTTCATTTGTATGTGGAAGTTAAATAAGTTTTGGTGTTTGGTAGGTTAGCTATATTAAATGCATTTTCAACTTAGTTTGTTTTCAATTTACAATGGGCTTATTGGGACATAACCCCTTGGAAGTTGAAGAACTTCTATATTTTATTTTCATTTTGTTAGTGTTATTTAAGCTGCATTTACATAACTTTGGAGTAAAAATGAAACTCATGTTGGCCTAATGCAAATCAAACTATAAATTTAGCAAATATATTATTCACTCTTCACCATAGTGGTATCTGTCAGGAAAAGAAAATGATACATGAATATCTTTTTTAAAACCCAACTTCTCCATACATTGTTATGGGGTGGATGCTCCCATTCTTGGAAGAGCCATCCTCTTCCAGCACAAGAGAAACTCAGGGCCAAGTCTGGAGAGAAGAAATTCAAGCCTCAAGCTGCAGCACTTACAGGCTGATTTGGCATCATTAATGCACTTGGGAATATCTGATCCCGAAAGTAATTCTGACATTCTTTCTCTACTAAGAATCTATTATTGTTTTGGAAAGCCCCTATTTCAAATTTCAAGGATGTATATAATTGAAGGATAATAGTTATACTTTGAAAACCTATTACAATGAAAGAATAATTATGTTTTCTTGGAAAAATAGCTATATTTGGCATCACATTCATTTCCATCAACTGATAATTTGTTTTCTGCCTCTTTGTATATGGCATAGCCCTATGATTGGGATTCAAATCTTGATTTTGTGAACGTTATTTTTCATGAAATAAATAGATTATATTAAATAGTTTTTTTCACTTAAATGTCATTCTAAAAATGTAATTACATAATTAAAGACCCATGACATTTTAAAGACACTTTTATAGTTGAATATGTTGTTTATTCTCTATCTGTATCTCTCTGTATTTCTTTATTCTGTATCTCTAATCTATTACCTTTAAAGCCACTTAAATAGTTCGATGCATTTTTTCTTATCTCTTCCTTTATTATAGTATCTGGAAAATGATACCAACCAAATCAAAGCTCTTTGCAATTTCAAGCATAAATTAAATGAGTGTATAATTATGAAATTAACTTATTCTTCAGTTTCAGACACTTTAATCTGAATGGAGGCTTCTAAACTTTTAAATGTGTCTATTGTTTTAGGAATCTTAATCTGATAAATTTTCTAAAATTAACTGTTTTCCTATTTAATATTTTGGTGTCTTAACTTTCTGAATTAACACGCTAGTTTAAGTTTATTAATCCCATAGCAGAAAGAACTGAATTTTAAAATTAATTTGCCATTGGGTTTATGCCAGTAGTTTTTTCATCCAGGTATTTGGTAACATCTGGAAACACTGTTTTTTGTCATTAAAATTCTGGGCAGTCAAGGACTTGAACAGACACTTCTCAGAAGAGGATATACAATCAATCTATAAATATAAGAAAAAATGCTCATCATCTCTAGCAATCGGAGAAATGCAAATAAAAACTACTCTAAGATATCATCTCACTCCAGTAAGAATGTCAGCCATGATGAAGACAAACAACAAGTGCTGGTGAGGATGAGGGGGAAAAGATACACTCATACACTGCGGGTGGGACTGCAAATTGGTGCAGCCAATTTGGAAAGCAGTATGGAGGTTCCTTGGAAATCTGGGAATGGAACCACCATTTGACCCAGCTATTTCTCTTCTCGGACTATACCCAAAGGACCTAAAAACAGCATACTACAGAGACACAGCCACATCAATGTTTATAACAGCACAATTCACAATAACTAGACTGTGCAGCCAACCTAGATGCCCTTCAGTGGATGAATGGATAAAAAAAAAATGTGGCATATATATATAATGGAATATTACTCAGCACTAAAAACGAATAAGATCATGGCATTTGCAGGGAAGTGGATGGCATTAGAGCAGATTATTCTAAGTGAAGTTAGCCAATCCCCAAAAAAAACAAATCCCGAATGTCTTCTCTAATATAAGGGGGTGACTCAAAATGGGGAAGAGAGGAAGAGAATGGGAAGAATTTTACCTCTACATAGGGAAGAGGGGTGGAAGGGAAAGAGAGGGAGAAAGGGAATTACATGGATGGTGGAAGGAGACCCTCATTGTTATAAAAAATACATGTATGAAAATGTGAGAGAAAAATAAAAAAGAATAGCGTTACCCTAGATTAGGTAGAGAGAAGTGATGGGAGGGGAGGGGAGGGCTTGGGGAGATTGGAAGGATAGTAGAATGAAACAGACATTATTTTTACTGTGTGTATATATGTGAATGCATGACCAATGTGATTCTGCAGCCTGTACACTCAGAAAAATGAGATATTATATCCATCTGATTCAAATGTTTGATATGTCAAGATCATTGTACTGTCATGTGTAACTAATTAAAACAAAACAAAACAAAAATATTCCTGAAAAAAAATTCTGGGCAGTGACAGAGATGGCACTGGTACGACAAAGAATTGGGGCACTGCTGACCTTCTACAATGCATGAAGTGGAGCTCTACACCTGTGAATGACCTGATTCAAACGGTCAGTGCCACTGTTGAGAAACTTGCTTGATGTCACAGCTTCATAAGCAGCATGGTTTCTGGTATCTAGGTTTAATAACAAGATGAGGCAAATGTAATCTTTCTTATCATGAGTGACATGATGAGGAATGACATTAAGATCAAAAATCAAGATGGGGACAGAAGATCAGCAGGTTATAATAGCAAATGTGAAGACGTTTGATTCCAATAAGTTGGAAGAAAACTTTTAGGTGCTTTTTTTTAGAACAAAATCTTGGCTGTCTCAGCACAACTGAAAGCTAAGCTCACTTAATCCCGATAGTTTGATTCATGTGGTATGTGAAATAGAAGAGAATGAGCAGTGTCTTCTAATACTAAGGAAAGTAAGGTTTTGATTTAGGCAAGGAGGGAATGTGAACACGTCAAAAAGGTCACGCATATAAATTAAAGCTGTTTAAAATCAATGTAAGTTTGGCGAAAGTTGTTGAAGGAGAGGCCCTCCAAAGAGAGAGAAAGAACCAGGAGGAGGAGACAGAGTTTATTTGGGGATGGTCTTTTTGTGTGCTCAGAATTATGTGCCAAATAATAATTTCATATCCAATACGGCATTAAGATAGAGGAAATAAATTTACTTGGCTTATTTGCATCATATGTGACAACTTCTAAAAATTAGCTAAATGTTCTAATGGATAAATTGAAATGTGAGTGGAGATTAGCAATAAGTGAGGGGCATTTTGGCCAGAAGTGGCCTAGCATAAAAGCAGTAATGAACATAGCTTCTTGGTTAATTTTCCTGAAAAACATGGAAGATTCAATGCAAAAGCATCTTGTTTTTAAAGAAGTTTCTTATACCACCTGTCTACATAAATTTCATATCACTGAGAGATACAGAACAGCTTGAGGTTGCTGGGAAGACTAAACTTTTTGGATATTCTTTAAAACTGATGACACCTTTATGGGCTGGAGGAAAATATCTATTGAGCAGAATTCCCTATAAATTATTGAAGAAAGTTTTAGACACTTAAGTTTTGCTGAAGTCACTTAATCCTTTAATAATTGGGAAGAGGGGGCGATGTGGTCCACTTTTAAGAACTGAATCAGAGATAAGGAAGAAAAAGTGGCAAGGATTATTTCACCAAGGGAAACAGATTTGAAGAAAAAGAGGGCTTAAATTCAAGAAAAACAGGATTTCTATATCACACAGTTGATGTACAAAACTGTACATTGAACAAATTAGGTTCTGTATATTGAACAAATTATTCTGAATTAGTTTAGCAAATGTGGGGGAACAGCACTGAAGTACGTCCTCATTCTGGCAGAATGTTGGAGTGGAATGAATCTTCAAATGGTGTGGACTCAACTTTGAGGAAAGAGAAACAGAGTAGAATGATAGGGACGTACCAACTGTGTGCTGAACATCATTCCACGTGTTTCCTCATGTATCCCATTAGTGAGACACATCGTATTTGGGGACATTTTGCTGATGACAGAACTGGGAACTAGTAAATGTCATTTTCCACACATCTAGCTCATGGAAAAACTGGGAGAGAATCTTAGCCTCTGGAGAAATGAAGCAAAGACTGATGATGTCTACAGCATTTGAAGATTTACTATTCAGCTTTAAAATGATTCATTTTTTTTCCTGCATTTTAATCAGGACTTTTTCTATTCACAGGGACTACTTCTTGGACTATTCATTAACTGGAAAGCTCATTCCTCTTTTTCCCTCTGTGATTATGCCTTGGTACGTCTCCAGAGCTCGCCTGGTTTATGTTCTTCAGGTTTTCTCAGAGGCATCACACAAATGTGTCCAAGTTGTCAGGTGATGTATGGTTTCCATTATCACCTTTACAAACTATATCTCAGATAACATTCTCCAAAATTCCAGATGTTCTCAGGGATAAAATCTTGGCTGTTTCAACACAACTGAAAGTGGAACACACTTAATTTTCTGTTTAAATATTTATTCCAAAGTGACTTAATCACATAATAAGTTTTTCTGCAGTCATAGAATAGTCATTTGGCAAACAAACAGAAAAAGAATAAAAAAATCAGAAAATATGCATATCACAGAGTAAGACATGTTAGTCATAAAGTATTAAAAAGTGTGGTATAAGATTATATATTTTCAAAATGAACACAACATTGGTGTATAGGTAACTACTACTTAAGGCAACACAAGCTAAGGGTAAGTGGATGATCTTATTCCATTTAATTATATTCATTTCATAAGACTAAATGTTTGAGAAATATTAAACATAATAGTTGTTGCAGTAGTATACTTTCATAATTTTAATAGTTGTTGCAGCAGTATAAATGTGTGATTTTTCCTGATTGGTTTACTTTTGGGCAAAGTTGATGTACAAAACTGTACATTGAACAAATTAGGTTCTGTATATTGAACAAATTTTAGTTTGTTCAGTTTATTATAATGAAAACAACATAGACTGGGTAGTTTATAAACATCAGAAATTTGTTTCTCATAGTTCTGGAGGCTGGCAGTTTGAAATCAATGATTGGCAGAGTCAGTGTTTGGGGAGGGCCTACCTCATAAACAGGGGTCTTTTTTTATACCTCATGTCGGGGAAGAGGACTCAGAAGTGACTAGAGAGACAGGGCCTGTGGGCTCTGCCATCATTAACTAATCACTTTCAAAGTCTCTACCTATTAATACCAGCACTTTAAGGGTTGGCCTTAGAACTTGTGGATTTGTGGGGAGACAGACACAAATATTCAGCCAATTATACTTTAGAATATTGTTTTTACCCTATAAAGGACCAGCCAGATAATGTAATGTGGGAGGAAGGCTGGGCTTCAGAGCCTGCAGGGAGAGACCGGGAATATGATGGGAGCGCAGGTTCTGGTTAAAGGTGTTACCATGGACTCATTCCCTGTTGCCTGTGAACAGGGAATAAGTGTGACCAATTTCTCACTTTTTTTGAGTGAGATCACAGCTCAATTTTTTAATGAACAAATTTCTTACTTTTTAGGTTGTTCTGAAAATATGTCTAGATTTCCATTCCCTTTGTGAAAAAAAATAAGCATTTCTGAGACATAAAATTGCTTATCATCCTTCTTCTTGACAAATGTTATACATTGTTTTAAGCTCACAATCTTTGCTTTTCCTGTTTAAATTTACTTTTTCCTGAAACCAGAACCAGTGTATGTTGGTAAGTGATAATGTACTTATTTCATTCCTAGATCAAAAATTACATTGGATAAATAATGAATATAATCAAACATTCATGATAGAGACTTGGAATTCATTTAAAATATTAAAAATAATTATACATATGAGAATTTCACTGATTTATAAAAATGTTTTGGTTTATTGAATCAACTCTATTACAGTTAGTTAAAAGTATACTAAAAGAAATTTTGAAAATGCAAAAAATATCGTCCACTTTAAAAATCAGTCTTGCAAAAAGAACAAGAAACACAATCATAAATGATACTTTTCTGTTGTAACTCATCAAAATCTATAAAGCCCTCCCACAATTTATGAAAATGGAAATCAGATGAGGATACAGCAAATGACTAAACAAAGAAAGTATGGTGCTAATTGCTTACAAAAAGGCTCAAACCAGTGGGCAACTAATTTCAAAGTATAGAAAATAAAGTGGTGAACAAATGGGACTCGGAAGCTAAGTTTGGGAGTGAGCTGAAATAGTTGCATTATTTGAAGTTTTTTTTTTATTAGAAGTTAGACCTCCAGGGTCACACCTTTACCACTTATGCTCAGATTACTACCCCTCTTTCCATCCTGAGGAGAGATGACATATGTTTTCTAGAAAAATTTTATTGAGAATACTACAAACTCAGTTTTATATTTTTTAAATGTCTTTTTGGTTGACTCTAGGCTCAATCTCTATAGTACAGGGTGATTACTTAAGATTTTGTTTTGAAAAGTTTTTTTTTTTCTTTCTGTTTACAGTTGTTTTTGTTTGCTTTTAAGGAAGGGTAAGTGGAATGCCCTGCGATGAAGCTAGGAAGTCCCCTTGCTTAAGAATTTGGAAAATGGAGCTGGGCGCCATGTTGTATGTCTATAATCCAGTGGCTTGGGAGGCTGAGGCAGGAGGATTTCAAGTTTAAAGCCCTAAGCAACTTAGTGAGATCCTGTCCCTTAAAAATCAAAACAAAAACAAAAATTTCTTTCTCTGTCTCTCTCTCTATATATATTTATATATAAAAGGCTGGGGATATGGCTCAGTTGTTAAGTGCCCCTGGTTTCAATTCATGGTACTCCCAACCACCCTCCCCCCTAACTGGAAGATGTAAAGAAATACAGTGTGCTCTAAAAAGGGCATTTCTTTGCTTGCATAACTTGAAATAAAGTTAATTCTATGAAACCAAATTTTATTATTTTATTGAGTTGAGTAAACACACGCATATATGTAAATATATATTACTGTGTGACATACTCTAAATGATTTTAAAATATTTAGTCATGCAGTCATCTTAATAACCGTATAAGATGGTTATTCTATATGAAAAAAAAAAAAACCCTGGCACAGGACTCATCACACAGGCACACTCCAAGGATAGAGGCATAAGCAGATTTCTTGTCAGGCCCCTGACAGGCTGCTCTGCTCAGAGAGAGAAAGAGAAGCAGCAAGCGAGGGAGAGCAGCAGCAAGTCCCCCTTGAGCATTACCTTCTATAGGCCAGAATCATGGCCGACCATGAGGGGCGGGTTTAGCCCTTGCAACTGGCATAGCAAACATCACCTGATTTGGGGAAAAGCAAGTTACTCTTTCTTAAGAACAGAGAAGAGCAACTTTTTATCTCTCAAGGAGAAAACAGAGACTGGCAGGTTTGTATCTCTTGGGAAAGGAAGAGGGCAGTAGTTATACCAATACTATATATTTATATACATTTTACAGAAAAAGTATGAAAGCACAGAGAGATTCAATCACTTCCCCTAAGAAGTGGCCAAGGCAATACAAATTGATGGTGTAGCAAAATGCTGCTGCCTTCCCCGAATTTCTTACATAATATATTGTGCATTATGGATCCATGACAGTGTTTCATTCCAAAGATTATGAGCAAATTCTCCTTTAATCAAAGCTTTGTGTAGACAAGTCTCCTTTACTTCTTGGTTTGAGCACAACTCAATTTAGGAAGGACATGACATTGTTAAAGACAAAAATATTCCATGATACTTGTTAAATCACGATAAGCAAGATGCATTCAGGGCCATTGTGGTAGGTTACAGGGGCCACAATAGCAAGGTGTGGCAGAGATGGGGAGAGATTGGTTCACTTTCAATAAAGTGTGAGCAAGTACGAATTTATTGCCATGGGGCAGAGTCAGGGTGTGGGGGTTGGTAGGCAGATAATTGCTAAAGGCATTACAAGAGGTAAGAGAGATTCTGTCTAAATCAACCTAATAGGATGCTTGCTGATACAGATCAGAGTAATCTTACATCTCCTGATCACTTAAGGTGGAGGGTGAAGGACTTTATCAGATATTGAGGATGGAGGAACACATATGATAGATGGTGTGAATTGCATATGGTTTGAGTGTGTCCTTTTAGGGTTCATGTGTTAGAAGCTTAATCCTCAGTGTGGCAATATTAACCGTTGCTAGACAAACAATTAAGTGGTGAAACCTACTGGGAAATAATTAGTCATGGAGGATACTCTCCTCTTGGAAGAAATTGATGTCGTTCTCATGGAACCTTGGTTAGTTTTTAGGAGAGGGTTGTTAAAAAAACATTGAACTTGGTGTCTCAATCACTATTTGGCTTTCTGTCCTGAAGTGTGAGCTCTCCCTCTTAACACACATACCACTACTGTGATGCCATCCACCATGAAGTATGCGTTTGACACTAGTGCCCTGTCCTTTGATGTTTAGAACTATGAGCTAAATTAGCCCCCTTTCTTTCAAAGTACCCAACCTCAGAGATTTAGCAGTGTTCTTCACTAAAACTAGATTTTACAAAATTTTGTGCATAGGGTGGGCCCATGAGAAGTTTCAGAAGCCTAACTATAGTTTAGCCAAGCAAAGAACTTTATTAATATTTAATTAAAATGCTAGCCTGTATTTTGAAAATGATATCACAATTGCTCTGTATATTCTTTTCACATATTTTAAGTCCTATTCAGGCCAGTGACCTTGCCTGGACTTGTGCCAGGGTTGGACTCTTTGCTGAGGACCATGTGACCTCTGTTCTCCTATCTCTACCCCACAGAGCATGGCCACTAATGCCATCAGGGACCAGTACATTCTCTGTCCTCTTTCATCTCAGGGATCCCTGGCCAGACTCTCAGGAGCTCTCCTTTTCTTGGGCTTTGAGAATTTCCTATTTCTTTGTCTGGGAGTCCCTCTCTGAGAATCCCTTCCCCGCCTCTTCCTGCTTCTTGTCTTTGCTGTGTTTCCTTTTCATCTCTTTCCTCAGTCCCCTTCACACAGGGACTCAAAGTTTGCCCACTAGTTGGTCCTTTGCCAAATCCACTGTTCTCAGCAATACTCTTTAGTTCTCTGGGCTGCTTAGTTCAACTGCTTTTATAAATATATATTTTACCTCACTCCCTTGGGAGAGCCATTAATGGTGAGAATAGTCAAGTTTATTTTCGTAAAGGATTGATGTTTCACAACCTTCCTGGCTATTCAAGATTTATGGGAAAAGTTTTAACTCATACAAAGTAGATATTTTCTTGGCAGGAAGAAAATGAGTAAAATAACGAAAAGGTACCCTATCCCCCACAATCAACACAACATCAAGGATTACCTAACTAATCACAACGAAATTATACAGAAAGATAGAGAAAGAATGAAACTTCAAACCAATTCTGCACTTAAATTATAGAATAACCTTAAG